GGGGGGACTGGCACAGCGGGTGGGAACATCGACCTGGAATCGGCGATACTTTGCCGATGGATCGGCGATAGCGAATCCGCGCGTTCCTGGGCGGGGTGGGACTATCAGGCCCAGATCGGCGATCAGTGGGCGGTTGGGGGTCGATGCGTGCCCCCCTGAGCCTATCCCCCCTATCGTTACCCCTCAGTGCTCGGGAGGCGGAGAAACTCAGAGGGGGAGTTGAGGCACCATGAGAAACGGCTCCAGGACGAAAAACTATGCCCAAGGAACTGGTCGGGACCTGTGGGGCCACCCCGGCGGCGGCGCGCGAGCTCTCGGGGGACGAACACATGATGCGGTAGGTTCGTGTCTCAGGAGAGCTGAGACACCGGCAACTGGCTTTCGGGGCCCCTCGTCGCCACGGCTGGACGCCGCTCGCTTTGAGCCCCGGGCTCGGGCCCCGAGATCCAGGCGTCGCATTTTTTTGTTTACATCAAGCGTTCTCGCCTGGTTTCGGGCCCCACGACTCCGTCGCCGATCCATGCTGCAAATAAAGATGGGGTCTAGGGCTCCAGTCGCGTTTTTCCGCGATGGTGTATTTTTGGTCGCAGCGTCGGATCCCAAAGGAAGACGGAGAGAAACGGGTCTCGAGGCGCCACCGCCAGCGCTGGCGGCCGTCTCTTCCAAGCATGAGCGGGGCCGTGCTGGCGGCTTCCCGCCACACGGGGGGGAGACCGATCGGGTCCCCCGGATCAGACGTGCCCAGGAGCCGGGTCCTGCCGCCTGGTCGCGGAGCCCGCTCGAGAGGCGGGAAGAGAAAGCCCTCCTCCTCGCACGGCCTGCGCCCCTACAGGCTGCCGGCTCTGTCCTGCCTCTCGAGAGATCACTGCGCGATGCAGACTGCCCAATGCGGCCTCCGCTGCCTCGAGAGAACGAGCTCTGCGCGAGGCAGCCTCGGCCTCAGATGCTTCGGACAGCACCCCCACCCCCCAGTCCCAGCCGGGACCCCCACTCCCGACCTGGTGATCCAGGGGGTCCTGGCTGGGCGTGGAGGTGGCTTTCTGGAGCTCTCGGGGGCCAACAGAATACCCTCGCCTCCAGCCAGGACCCCTGGATCGCCCGGTCGGGAGTGGGGGGTCCTGGCCGGGGGGGGGGTCACGCTGTCTTCAGATGCAGGTCGGCACCTCCGTGCGGCTGCGGCTACGGGGCCCCAGCCCCTCCGCGGGGCGGCGGGTGCCCAGGTGGGCCGCCGCGGCGGGGGGGGGTCCACGGCTCCTGCCGCGGCGCGCGCCAGGGCCTCTCCTGGGCACCCAGGCGGGCCCGATGAGGACCCCTCTGCGATCGGACACACGCCAACATGGAGTAGGGATTCGTGGATCTGGCGCGTGGGCGCCAGATCCACGGATCGTGGGTGCCAGATCCACGGATCGAAGAGCGTACTTCCCGAAACACGAGGCGACTGCCGCCCGGTCTGGAGACAGCTGACAAAGCGCGCCGGTTCTGCACTGAAACGCGACCCGCCTCTGCTCCACGCGCCTTGCTCCGTGCTGCGCTTCCTGGATACGAGGCACGTCTGATCTGGGGGTACGTTTGGCACCCCCTCACGAGAACGAGAGCCGCCTGCACGGCCCGTTCCTGCCCGGAAGCGACGGCCGCTGGCGCTCCGGGCGTTCACGAATGAGAGCCGCTGGTGTCTCTCCAGGCTGGTCGCTGAGGGCTTAAGCACTTCTGCCGTCCCTCGACTCGCCGCTGGAGCTTCCACGACTTCTCTAGACTTCTCCCGATATCTCGGGGTTCACCTCGACCTGTCCAGATTTACGCAGGTTTCATTTTGGTCTGCCTCGGCTTATGTGGCCTGATCCCCACAAGTCGAGTGGATGAGAGTCGTCAAGCCCTTGAAAAGAACTGGCTCTTCTCTGACTGGCCCCCGCCGGCGCCCTACATTTACGGCAAGTTCGTGTCGTGACGACCCTGGCGTTGGTGCCTGACACCGCGCGGATCGTTCAACCTTGAATGATCGACGGCTCGTCGATCGCCAGAACGTTCCATGTCGGACGACTCTGGGCCACCAGTGGCGTTCAACCTTGAACGCCCGCGGCGGGGTCTTCGCCGCGTCGACACGACGCGAACTTGCTGTGTGCATGTTTGCGTTTTTTCTTTCCCAGGCCACTTTGAAGGGGAACTGGGACACACAAATAAATACACACAAATAACAGGACTTCCCATACTTTCTCATATCTTCTGGGTTTCTGTCTTCCCCCCCACTTCCCATATTTTCCCATACTTTCTGGGGAATCGACGATTCATTGTGTCTGTGTTTTTTTCCCTCCAGGCCACTTGCCTGAGGCCAGCGCCCTCACTCAGCAGACCCTTGACCTTCTCCCAGTCGCCGCGGCGGGCTGCCACCAGCAGCGCTGCGTTCCGCTGGGCCCACATGGCGCCCACTGGCAGCGCCGGCAGGAGAGGGATGAAAACAAGGGCTCCCAACATCGCGCTTCGCGCTGCGCGAAGCGCGAAGTGC